CCTCCCTGTGGTGTGGGCAGCGGAGCCAGTCGACCACACTGGCTGTTGACCCCAGAGCCCTGAGGGACTTGGGACAGAGCAGCAGGCGCCAGAGAGAGTCCACACAGCCCTGGCCTGCCCCATGAGGCCTGGTGCGTGCACGCCCGCACCTGCGCCCCAACTAACAGCCCTGTCCGCCTGCAGCCGCGTGATGACCTACCGCGAGCACGCGGCCTGGGTGGTGAAGGCCTACCTCCAGAAGCGCCCCGAAGGCCACATCGTGAGTGTGAGGTAATGAGCACCAAATATTCATGAGGCCTTTGCTGTAAAACATTCTTTCCCTCCGTTTAAAACATGCCCTGTCATTGAAGCAGCTGGGAAGCGATGGCATTTCGAGGTAGTAATTAACTCCTGCTTGAAGCTAGCCGGAAAGGTCATGGCACGGGGTGAGAGGGCAACAGAGACACATCTGTCTCCTGCCAGAGGAGCTTGGCCTGCGGGCGTGTAGACAGCTGTCTGGCTGGGTGACTGCCCTGACACAGACAGCAGGGGGGCAGGCCAGCCGCACCTGCCCGAGTGCGCACTGCTGCGATGGTCCCCGTAAACCCAGCCCTGCCGCTCGGTATGCGCCGGCTGGGAGCAGCGGGTATTTATGTGCCCATTAAAGGGACAGCAAAACGTGACTTATTGTCACAAAGACACCATTTGTTCAAGGAGATGCTGTTTTCCCCCTTGTCTGTGACATAAAAGCAAAGCATAACTCTCAGGCGGAGGCGGGAGCTGGGGAGGGCTGGGCCTGCCTCAAACCCCATGTTGCCACTGCAGGCCACCTCGGGGAGTCGGGGAGTGCAGCAGGTCGCTTGGTGCCTCTGCGCCTTCGCTGTGCCGCTTCTCCGGCCCTGGGGCAGGGTGGCGTGCTTCACGCCAGGCTCCCAGCTGTCCCCGGACACCACAGATGGGCCCCTTTGGCTCTGGGGAGCATGGGGTGTGGACCTGGGGGCACCACCTGGGAGGCCCTGGCTCGGGCACGGGGGGTACAGGCAGTTGCAGCCTTGAGCAGTGGGTGTGCGGGTGGGCCTGCCACCATCCCCCCAGCCAGATCCCTCCCCTGCCCCAGGTGGGCGTCTGGGGCCCTGGCCGGGATGTCACTCGCCCTCTCTTGGCAGTGTCAATGGGGACGTGCGCTTCTTCGACCCGCGGATGCCCGAGTCGGTGAACGCCCTCCAGATAGTGAAGGGGCTGACGGCCCTGGACATCCACCCCCAGGCACACCTGATCGCCTGGTAGGTGCCTCCCCATCCTGGCTCTCCTCCCGGCCGAGGGCCTCACGGCTGCTACGAACGGCAGCCTCAGGGCCCCTTGCGGGCAGAGCGTAAGTTCTCTGTCCCTGCCCTGCCTGGAAAAAGAGCAGGCTGGAGGGTTTACCCACATCGTCCTGAAATAAAAACTAGAGCCCCTGCCGCAGCCTCTCTCAGGAGGAACTTGCAGCCTCCTAGCATCCCTGGAGGTAGAGCCCTGTGTCCTTGACAGAAGGGACGAGAGGGGAGGCTCCGGTCGTGGCCCCCAGCCTGCATCTCTTTCCGCCCACTGCATAGCGGCTCCATGAACCAGTTCACCGCGGTCTACAATGGGAACGGGGAGCTGATCAACAACATCAAGTACTATGACGGCTTCATGGGCCAGCGCGTCGGGGCCATCAGCTGCCTGGCCTTCCACCCGCACTGGGTCTGTGTCCCACCCAGGGTGCAGCGGGTGGGACGCGTGGGGTGCCAGGGCCGGGCTGGGCGGGCCCCTCCCTCCTGCCTCCCAGAGTGTCAGGAGTCCAGCCAAGGGGTACTCAGGGCCCTGGGGTACGCAGAGACCACAGCCCCCACGCCCGCACATGGAAACCATACCCAGATGGTTCCCAGTTCCCGCCCTGAGTCCGGGCCTGCCGAACAGTTGTCGGCTGCCCGGTTGAAGCCGAGTGCAGCCCCGTCGCCTCAGGCGGGAGCTCCCGAGGAGCCTGGCACACAGCTCTGCTGAGAGGCAGAGTCCCCGCTGGCCCTGCGGGCAGCCCCGGAAGGGGCAGGGCTCTTGGGGCAGTGCTTGTCGCGTCGCGGTGTGGTGGCACTCTGCTGGAGCTCTGCTGGAGCTGGCACCTGCAGCCGTCAGGACTGCCTGACTGCCGTGCTGGGGGGTGGCCCGCCCGCCACAGCCCTGCTCACCTGCCTGCTCTCTCCCCACAGCCCCACCTGGCGGTGGGAAGCAACGACTACTACATCTCCGTGTACTCGGTGGAGAAGCGCGTCAGATAGCGGCTGGGCGCCGGCCGCCCATGTACATAGCCCACCACTCCCTGCTCGCGTGTGCCGTGGGCCTGCTGCTCCACACCGTGCCGGGCTCCAGGCCCCGGGCCGGGCCCCTCGCCGCTTTCTTCTTCCTGTCTTCGCTGTAGTGTCTAGAAAGCCCAGGGAAGGGCTGGGGTCTGATAGTCACTGCTCGCTGGGAACCTGCCCGGGCCCGAGGACTCGGCACAGCCCACTGGTTCTGCTCTCCTGAGACTCGCCAGTGGGGAGACCCCGGTCTCGTTGCCACTGACCGGACAGAGTTCGAAGACGGAGCTCCAGAGCGACTTGCCTGCTGCCCCATCTAGCCAAGGGCAAGCACGGAGAGGCTGCCCCAGCCTGGCACTGGCCTCTACGGGGTGCACAGGTAGTGGGGGACGTTTCTGAGCAGGTGTGAAGAGGCTGGAGACTCAAGGCCATGGGAGGGGCACAGAGGTCCCCTCCAGCCAGCAGGCTTGGGAGGACCCCAGGGCCAGGCACTTCCCTTGGCCAGCCGGTCCTGGTGCCCAGGGCACATCATGGCCGTGTCATAGAAGAGGGCCCACCCTCCTGCCTTCACGCCCACCCCGCACAGTCTCAACCCTTGCCAGGAGCCTGCCGGCAAGACAGGTTCCAAGGCTCCAGGAGACGAGGCTTGCCCTGAGCACTGTGGCCGTGGCTGTCAGCTGTGCTCCGAGCCCTCCAAACTGCTGCTCTTCCCCCGAAGGCACAGGGGCTGCAGCCCAGGCCCGCACACGGGTGCACACACATGCAGGCACGTGTCCCCTGCCCGCTGGCCCCGAGGGGTCCATGGGTAAACGACAGGACCTCCAGCTCCGAATTGCACACGCTGGTGTGACCGGAGCTCGCATGTGTGTGCATCCTGTGGGAGAGCCCTTGGTGGCTGCTTTGGTGTGTCAGGGCAGTCTGAGCGTGTGTGTGCAAGTGTGCATGCAAGACGGTCACCCCAGGAGGCCCACAGAGGACATGCGAGAGAGGCAAGCAGGACACAGCTACATGACAGCGTTTGAGAAGCACGTTCTTCCGTTCTTGGTAGTCAGGGCAATTCGGGTGGAGGGTCGCTAGCCCACTGCCGTGGAGCCGCGGGGCGGGAGCTGGTCAACAGAGGAGCCGCCCTGTGTGGGCACAGTCCCGGGCCAGGCCTGTCTTCCAGGCTGTGGAGCCCTGCTAAGCAGCGGTTCCCCAGAAACACCCTGGTCATAGTGGACTGGCCTGGACATGGGGTTGGACGGGACTGGACAGGGGAGGTGACCCTCCTGCTGGCCACCAGAAAGTTCCAGTCAATCCCGTCTTCATGTCCTAGGCGAGCAAGAAGCTTGGGGTCAGGACAACCATAGAAAGTCCTGCCTCCCTGGGAGTGAGTCCTGCAGGTGCTCCAGGTGGTAAGACACCGGAACCTTCCAGAATGCAGGCTCTACCCAGACACAGCTTCTGAGCCAGCAGCGTGGACACGCTCTAGTCCAGTGTGCACTCCCGTTTGGGTTGAGACAAGACAAGCCCGCGCCTGGCAAAACGCCCCAGGCTCGGTGGGGGAGCGAGGTCCTCCCACCACCTGTGGCATGTGGCAGGTGCCACAGGCCACCTGACCGGCCGTGTCCTCACAGGTTTGACGCGAAAACTCAATCATGATGTTAAGTGAGCTCGAGAGAGCGCCGACCTAAAGGTTCATATATCTCTATTTATTTACCAAAATGAGCATCGAAAGGACTTGGACAAAAATGGGATTGTGACGCAGAACTACGAGCGATGACAAACAGCTGTTAATAAAGATGACTGAGTACGTGCAGGGTGGCTGCTGGCAATCTGTCCCCGTGGTGCCTCGCCCTGTGCTGAGCTAGCAGGGCCCTTGGGAAGCCCAGATGCTCCCTGCCACCCAGCATGCCCCGGGAGCTCGGGATTGTGGGGCAGCAGGGGTCACCCAGGCCGGGAGAGGCCCAGCATGTCAGGCAGGCAGTCCCCTTGTCCTCAGCCAGCAGCGTGGGAAGGCCCTTCGCCTGTGCGCCTTGCTGGGCAGGCCGCTAGTCTGTGGTTCTGGCGGTTGTCAAGAAGAAAGCCCGCAGCTTGGAGCAAGCCCACCAAGGATCGTTGCGCCACCCAGGGCGGGCCCGGGCGCTCTTGCTGGACCGGCTGTCGGCCCTGGGGAGGGCAGCCTCCCTGCGCAGCTGCACCTTGGCTTGATCCACCTGCAGCCTGGCAAGGTTCTCTGGCTGAAAGGGCTGGTGTAGACACCCAGGCTCAGGCCGGGACCTCTGACTGCGTACCTGCCGGCCCCTGTCTCCCCTTCCGGAGGGGCTCCTGTTTCTAGGCCAGACTTACCCTGCCCAGCAGGCCATGGCCAGTCCCAAACCAGAGAGCCGTGCGGGGCAGGAGGAGAGGCCTGACCACAGCAGAGGCGGCAGGCAGTACAGTGGGAGGCCAGGGTCCATGTGGACACAGGACACCTGGGTGGGGGTCTGCATACACCTTACCACCTCAGGGCAGGATTTCAAGAAATTGGGGGCTCAGGCATTAAATAACCCGCCAAGGCGATGCATCCTACCCTGACCCCAAGGCCTCCTGCAAAGACCTTTGCACCTGGTGGGCGGCTGCCCCCGGGGACCAGCAGGTGCACCTCCCTACTGACCGCACAGGCTCCGAGCTCAGGAGGAAGTGAACTAGCGTCTCTAGGGCTCCTGTGCACTCCCGTGTGGTACATGAGGTAGCCCCAGGGCCGCCGTTGCTGTGCACACAGGTGGTCCATCTCCCACCTCCTCCCAGTGTCCACGACCGCGAGGGACTCCTGGCATCGCGGGGGAGCCCAGCAGACTCGGCACCTGTCATGCACTGTTGTGTCCCTGTCAGTCACTGTTCCACAGGAGATGCCAGGGAGGGGCCCAGGCCACCCTTCCGGGCCAGGGACTCCCTGCAGCTCTCTGCTTCAGAGGCCCCACCCTGACCTGCAGGTTGCCATGGAAACCTGAGGGCTGGTGGCTGGGATGACTTGTTGAACAATGGCTCTTTCCCAGCAAGGACAACAGCGTTTGCAGGCTGTGCGGCCGCTTCCGCTTCCACTGAGGGAATAATAGCTCCCCTTGTAGCACCGTCTCTCTGTCACCAGCTCCCAGTGTAGACCGAGTGCCCGGGCAAGGAGGCAGGGCCGGTGGGCGGCCCCACACCAGGGGCCCAATGCCCAGCCTCCCGCGTGGGGCCAGGGTCCCAGCCGCTTGAAGAAAAACCTAGGTGTATGCGTGTGCATGCCCAGTGTTCTGGAAGGGGGCAGACGGGACACGGGGCAGCGAGTGGCCGTCTATGCGGGGGCTGCTCTGGTGAGTGCATGTGGCCTCCGCAAGTAAAAACGTGAAAAAGCAGGTGACAGAACGGGATTCGATATTTGTAAGCCACGTGTCCGGTGAGGGTTTAGCGTCAGGGTGTATCAGGAACTCTCAGAGCTCAGCCAGAAAACAACCCAATTGCAAAATCCACGAAGAACGTGCCCGGACCTTGTCCAGAGGGCATGCAGCGGCCAGCGAGCCATGAGAGGGTGCCACCAGGGAAGCCCAGCTGGCCTGGGGCAGCGCCACTGCACTCCCGAGGGTGGCTTGTTCTTCCGGAGCTGCGGGTGGTTAAGTGCACTTACCTCTTGGCCCAGGAGTTCCACTCCCGGGAGGCTGACACGGACGTCGACGCAAACACGTGTACAGATAGACACGACTCGTGGCAGCCGAGAGGTCAGCGGTGACAGGGGCACAGCACGGCACACCCACGCGGCGGGTAGTACTCAGCCCTGAAAGTGCACGACCGTTGAAAACATGCAGCGAAAGACGCCAGCCTGAGCCAGCAGGCGGCCTGGTGGTGAAGGTGGCTGCATCCCGCATGGCCGACGGCAGTGTGAGCCCTAGACCCAGCTGCTAGAGTCATGCCCAAGACCCTGAGAAGGGATTGTGGTGTGGCCATCTCCCCAGGGGGCGGTTTCTCTCTCTCCCTCTCTTTACCCCCTTCCCCCCTCGCTGGTGAACACCTGTGCCCTATAGCAAAAACTAAAGAAAAAAGAAAGACACCGGTCCCAAACGGCCACACGCCATACAGTCCCTGTCGTGCAGGATGCCGAGATAGATAGGTAAACCCACAGAGAAGAGGGACGGGAGCGGCCGCGGCGGCGTACTGGGTGGAGGTGGGGCTGCGTGATGGTGACCACCCGGAGCGCCCCTCTGCGCCACACCCTGAGATGACTCGTCACGGGCCAGGGGCAGTGAAGGGGACATGCGGGTCTGCACGGCTGCTGTGGGGGGCCCGGCTGCGTGTGCAGCACCCGCATGCCAGGGTCCCGGCCGGCCTCGGCCAGGGTGGACTATGGCCTCAGGCCCTTCTTGGGCTGCTTCACTCGCCGTCCCTCTCGTGGAAGGAAGAGGTAAGTCAACCTTTAAGGATGGATAGTTGTGTTTCGGCAACTTCACCAGTCTATTTTTAATCGAGAAAAAGACAGATGGTCCCAGGGAACGCTCTGACACCCTAACCCCATGAGGCTGTCCCAGGTCCTTCCAGGCTGGAGCAGAGGCGTGCCTGGGGGAAGCGAGAAGCCTCAAGTTGGCACCGATGAAGAGGGAGGGAAGGGGTGCCAGGCGCTGTGGCCTGAATGCTTGCCCCTCCCAAATCCCTCGCACCACCTCGGGGCACTTGTACTATGGAGTGGGCCCTGGGGCCAGCAGGCAGCGTGGCTGCTGTGCTGGACTCCCTCATGGCCGGCCGTGGTTTGAGTCGCTGACACAAGGACTTGCAGGTCGCACCAGGCGTGTGTGCATATGTGCCCAGCACGGAGGAGAAGGGCCTGCAGCGTGGCTGTCCCCCCAGGGGGCACTCTTCACTTTCTGCCTTGCTATCTCTTGTCTCTGTCTCTGTCTCTCTGGCAAACACACGCACCGCACGGCAAAAACCTTAAAAAGGTAATAATAGTGAGGTGGGCTGGAACGAGCGATCAGACCAGGTGGCTCCTCCCTGGTGAGTGGGGTGAAGGCCCTTGCAAGAGACTCCCATGATGCTGGGCCCTTTCGTTTTCCACCTTTGGTCTGTGAAGACACAGCATTGCAGACGCTCCCTTGGAAACAGAGACCCAGCCCTCGCCAGAAACCGACCCTGCCGGGCCGCGGCCTGGACCTGACTGTTACGTGTAAGCTATGGACAGTCTCAGGGTTCTCTTAGAGCAGCGTGCACAGGACAGGCTAGACAGAAGTCAGAGACGGCGAGGCTCGGGCCCCAGTCCAGGCCTGGAAGGATGAATGGCCCCAGTTGTCTGCTGCAGCCCTGGCTCCCACCACCTGGGACCCTTGGAGACAGTGTGGTGACTGCCCTCAGGAGAGGCCCGTGTGGCCATGAGCTGAGGCCCCTGCCCATGCCAGGCGGGCGAGGCTGAGAGCAGAGCCTCTGGCCCCAGGCAGCTTCACGGGGAGCCCAGCAGATGCGGCCCTGCACTGGGTGGGCTGTCCCCTGTGCGTGTGTGGTCCACGGCAGCACGACAGGTCATGGCCTGAGCACCCGAAGCCAGACCTCCATCCTGCCACAAAGCACACCCGGGCCAGGCACCCTGCAGGGTCTTCCAGGGCCATCAGGCTGCCGGTCAAGGCAGAGACCAAGTGTGTCTTACTGACCCAGCCTCAAGTAAGCTTGGTCACCCCTCCACTCTGGCACTCTGGGTGACACGGGCCACCTCCATCAGTGTACGAGGGGACAGTACAGCCCTGTGGGAGCCTGGCTGCCTGGTTCCCGGAGACCCCACCTTCCCTGCGCCGTGCTCCAGGGTGGCCATGGCCTGCCATCCCTCCAGGCGCCAGGCCTCTGGGCCCTGCACGTGCTGCAGCACGACCCCAGAGACACTCCAGCTCCCCCGCCCAGGCCCAGCCCAGGTCCCCCGGGCCCTCCATGATGTCCCTGGTGCAGGGCACTACGAGGTCTGCGTGCTGCCTGCGAGCCGAGCTGGGTTCAGGTCAGTGTCGCTCTGGGCCACCCAGGTGCAGGGCAGGCTGCTGCATGGACACCCACTTCCCTGCTGCACACCTCGGTTTCCCCGTGAAACAGGGATGGTCCCTGAGGAGGCTGCCGGGAGTGCAAGGCCCACACAGTGCCATCACCCTGCCACCCGGCCAAGGCTTGGTGGCCCAAATGCCTCAAGCCTCCTGCACCCACCAGTCCTGAGCGCAGCTCTGAGCCAGTCCACGTGGAAGAGCAAAGCTTTATAGCAGGGACAGTGACACCGTCCCCCCACCCCACACCCTCAGCAGGAGGACCCTCCTGCCTCCCAGCCCTTCCCCACCTGGCCCCTTCCCCAGGCAGGCGGAGGGACAGAGCCACCGGGAGAAACCAAGAGGATGGCCCTCCCAGTCTGGGCACAAGAGCACACCCCCTGCTCCCACAGCCTGGCACCCTGCCACCTGCACGCTGCCCTGGCTGTCCCTCTGTGTGGCTCAAGCTCCTAAGGTCAGACACCATGGCTTCTAACCACCCACCCGCCTCCCCGCCACCCCTGAACACCCCACGGGTCCCCTGGCCCCTCCCCGGGCCTGGTCTGAGAGCAGGGCCTGCCCTGGCAAGCGCTGAGTGCGGAGTGAAGGAGCCAAAGGTGAGAGGAGGAACAGCGCCCTCCCCAAAGCCCAGCGGGACCCGCCTCCCTGTGGCTGGCGGGGCGGGGGGGCGCCGGGGGGGGGC